CCCCAAAACCCCAAAACCCCAAAACCCCCTTGTGGTAAAAATAAGATAAAAGTAAAATTAAATAAAAATACAAATAAAAAATCAGATAGATATAAATTTTTTAATGATATTCATTAATCAAAAGCTTTATTAGAATCTTCATCATCAATAGAATATAAAATAAAACAATTATGACATAATTCGAAACCATGATCAGAATCGTGATACAAAATCTCATTGGGATCATTGTGAATCATAGATCCTTAGTCGCATCCAAAATACCTAAGAGCATCACATTTCCAACCTCCTAGATATGCTTTGTTTAGTTAGCAGGCTGTCTAGTAAGTTAAACTCTAAAGATCATGCTGGTGGACATTACCGTATTTATGAAAGCAAGCCTCACAAAAGTCAAATCTACATGAGTCACAATGATAGAAAACTTCACTTTCTAATTATCGAAATGGTCCTTCTAAAGTTTAGCCACTTTAACATCCAGTGAAGTTATTACCATTACATCCAGCCAGACATATAACCTGCATGATTAGGGAGTCTTTTCATTTGATTTAATGTCAACTTTTCTAAGGGATATTTATGTATAAAAGTAAAGTATTAATGTTCTTTCTAGGAATCTTGCTTCTTTTATACATTTAGCTGTTTATTGCCTTATCTTTATACTTGAATTTTATACTCTTCAAACTACTTCTCCAAAAGTTCATACCTCTCTTAGGAAAGTCTCAACTGCTATTTAAGGTACTCATTGCATTTATGATGAGGATCATATTAATTCTAAACCTATGCCTAGTATCCACTGCATATTTATTTTATATTTCTGCAATATTCAAGGTGATTTTTTCTATATTTTCTTTAGTACTAATCACCACATTTAAGAGGACAGGATACCATTATTTAATCACATTGAAACTGGTAGTGCTTGATCAGGTCAATATATTTAATAGACTCGTTGTATTATTTGCATTCTACTTATGTGCAGCCTTAAAAGAGAGATCCCTCGATAAATTCTTTGACAAATCTGTGAGGCTACTTCGTTACAAGTTTTACTTAACATAATGGACATTTGTCACTCTTGCCACTATCAATCCAGGACTATGCACAATCTGCGCAAAAGCATTTCTAACAATTAGAGCACTCAACCGGATTAAATAATATCTGCATACAAATGGGGCAATCTAGTTGATCTTATGCTCGCTTATCTTCTTTGTTAATTTTTGATGTTCCTATTAGTCTCTTGACTGTTTAATCATCAGTTTCAGACTTTGTTTAAATTATATTGACTTATTCAGGATCAAAGTACAAGAAAATCGAAGATTCCACCATTTTTAAAAGAAAGATATTTTATTATTTATCTATGATTGCCAATTTTCATAAATTTATTAACATTGTCTTTAAGGGGTTTTGGGGTTTTGGGG